GCCTGAGGAAGATTAGATTACTGGCGAAAATGCTTCGCTGGCTGCATACCTATCTCTCGTACAAAAATCAGTTACAGAAATTCTTGACCATTTTCTGCTGATAGTCCTTCAAGAGTAGGAGCAGCTTCCCTAAGCACGACTTAATGGATAATTCATGCTCCATTTCAGACGAACACGAAATTCAAGGGAATCTATGATCAATTGCTTTGAAAATGTACTAGTCATTGATAAATTTTCACGCACTTGCGTTCATAACTATTACATCCTTCTTTGAGATGTAATTCATAATCTAACTGAGGAATAATGTTCAAGCAATTAACCTGGAAGCAGTTGATAAAAATTTGAAAGAATGCCATATAAATGATCCGATAGATTACGACCGGATTATGAAGTGAAATAGCCAAAAGAAGGCACAGATTAACGACCACCCAATATTTCGTTATCATATGACGAATAAACGATATTGTCGGATTTGATGTTATTTTGAAAGCAGATCGCTCATCTGAATGGTTCATTAAGTACTCGACTCTCATCGGCAAATTGCTCATAGGCAGTTGGGAATATGTTCTCAACCAGATGATGCATGACCATTTCTCACAATTACAGCTTATTTTGACCTTCAAATTCAATCGCACCTTTCGCTGATTCCTCAGTGAGCTTTTCAGCGACATCGGGCTTCTTTTCACCACCTGCCACTGCCTCTCCTCGACGTTTCTCGATCGTTCGTTGTTTGACAGTAATCCAAAACAATACTGTAAACATGAATTTCAATAGAATCGAACGGCAGGGCGGTGCAGTTCGTGGCTTCTCAAATCCGATCTGCAAATCGCCGAGGTTCAGTTTCGTTTTAATCTGCTCGTGTTTTGACACCACAATGATTTGACACGGATTGTCTAGAATTAGCATTGTGAAATGTAACGATATTTTTTCGAGGCGTTCTGATATTTCGAGTAGGTTTAAAGAACGATATTTCGAAATGTTTTGTTTGAAGCGCAGTTTTTTGATGAAACACACTGATACACACGTTCGCCTTTTTACGGACTATTCAAACTAGCATCGCTTGACCATGTGAATTACCGAATATATCTTCGATTTTTTGTGGCTTTCTAATTTGTTTTTGTTCTAAATTCCATTCCTTTCTTTGTTTATCGTGAATTACAAGCAATGTTTTCAGTAAGAAATGTGAAGATGATGGTGGTGACCTGTCTCAAAAAACCTGGATTCTCGTCAGGAAGTTCGGCTTGGGTCAAATCAAGGCTGTATATGAACTGAATAAGGACTAGCGCCTGAAACTGATTCCAAGCGTTATCTATAAGAGATATCTATAAGAGATGAAAATTATGTAAACAAGTTTACTATTCATGCAATTCTGCACTCTTTCCGTTCACTTCATCGCTTTGACGTTTTGTCGCAGATCTGATAAAGTTTATTGATTGATCAGCAAAACGAATCAATGAGGTGGACTCGTTGAAATCTGGGCAATTTGCGGCGAGAAAACAATTTCCGTGAAACAACTGACTTGAGCATAGAAGGCGATGTATGGCGAAATTTTCGCACAGAATCGTTGTGAATTCGGGTACATCCAGACAACACACGAGATTATCATCAAAACAAACGTCAACCAACTATGATACAATAAACTCCAAGCCTTAAATGGATTCATTTTACTGACTCAACTCTGTGACCGTACTGATAATGAAAGTTTTACGGATGAAAACGTGATGCTATTGAAAGTGATCATTTATTGTATACTCTTCTGATGTGATTACCAACATCCTTCACTAATGACTCGAAAAGTTTAACAATCTTTAATTGTTGCAATGTTATAATATATTCTACGTTGACATTATTGCTGGCGAGATTGGCACAATTAGAGGTTTCAAATCTTTGATTGTGAACTTGCAGTTGGATAACAATAATTTTAAGCTGAAGTTTTATTCCATGTTGTGTTCATTGGGTTTGAGACAAATTTGTGACTAAAAATCATATTAAAAACTAGATTCCCTTAAGATTTCAATCGCAATTCTTCATTGATGGTTTTCAAGAATGCTGGTCATCTTAGAATGTCGTTTTACGTCAGCGTAAAAGCATTTGGGATGACGCAAAAGGAGTGATGCGCGATCAAAAATTAAATCAGTAGGACATAACAACAAAGCATTTGCATAACTTTATGATCGCATTAGCATAAATTCCCGTTTTAAAAGAATAAAAAATCCCTTTAGTGAAGAGGTGAGCGTTCAAGAATGAAGGAGCTCAGAGAGAAGCGATTAGAATGATGGGCTGTTATGAATTTAGTTGCTTTCTTGAAACAAATCATCCTCTAAATGATGTCTCTTCCTTTTTCGGAAATTTCGAATAGAATCAAACAAATTTCGTAACGTTAGATCGCACGCTGGTCGTATCCAATTTCAAAATATGCTGCTATTTAGTTAGGCAGAAAGATATGAATTTGAATGATTGAAGCACGACCAATTGCATTTGCACTCTATACGACAAAGAGTGCAAATTGAATTGGCCATACTTTAATACGAATAAAAAGAATAGTCCTCTTTGGTCTCTCTTCTCAGTCATTTTTTGTTCTGTTTTTTTCCAAGGATGGAATGCTTTTCGCATGAAAAATGATTTTGTCCGAAAAACCCATTCCCTTTGGGAATTTCTTCCTTTCGGTACTCGTCCCGATGGAATTCTGCAAGTTAAAATTCGAATTTGAAAATTCAGCTACAACTTGAAGCAATTCTAGTGTGCATCCAAAAACGAACCATCATAACGAACAGCATCAGAACATAGCTCTGCGATCGTGCCATTTTGTAGGCTTGCTCAACGAGCGCTCTTTTGCTTGGTATCACTATACTTTTCTCCTGAAAGCAACTTCTTGATGCGGATCAATTCGGTCGTCTGTGTTCGTGCACAATTGAGAATCACCACATTTTGAACTGACTGATAATCGGATGATCTACGATTAACCAAAAGTCATGCAACTCAATTTCGAACTCAGCGTTCACTTGAGGGTGCAAAAAATTAGCGTGAGATGAATGTTAAGCAATGTGGAACGATATCAGCATTCATATCTGCAAAAAAAGCCACAAGACAAACACACTCAACAAACGAACCAAATAGAAAAGGATTAGTACAATCGTTAAGTTTCGTTGTCATGCTTCAGATCATAGACAAAGTGCACTGATGAATAATGGATGGAACCAGTGAGTAGGGAGGAAATTCCCCATCCATTTCATTGCGTTATATCAATGATAATTGATATTGTTTTCGAGCCCACGTTCATTTGATTGCGTTTCCGAAAAATTTAGTGTATAATTTGAT